GCGGCGCCGGAGGCGCCGCCGGGGGGCCCCAGCGCCGATCCGAGAGATCCGCGCGGACCTCCGAGTTTTTCTGTTTATGCCACTTTTTGTTCCCCTGAGGTTGTCTTGGCTCGGATGCTCAAGGACCAGTCGTCCAGGCGGAGTGCTCAGCGGAGTGCCAGATGCGCCACGCCCGGCGGGCGAGGAGTCGGCCCGCCGGCCTCCGAGCGGCACAGAAGGCGGGCTGCGCCCTCCACGCCACGTGCGTGGCCTTGCCATCGCTCGGGCGTCCATTCCTCGTGTAGCTTTTGATTTCGTGCGCGCTTTTTCGCTAAGTCATCCAGGATGCTCCTCCATGGTCCCCGCCGAGGAAAAATGCACGCGTCCGAGCGATGCCAAGTGGCACAATGAATACTACCCCCTCTCTGGAGCGAATCGGGGCCACGGGGGTCTTTCGAAGAGGTCCCGCAAGCTTCAAGTCAGTCTGTGGAGATTCCAGAGGGTGTTCGCTCCAGTGCCTGGGAGGTCCGCGCCCAAGGCTCGCGGGACGACTGCGTGGCCTCCGACCTGGGCTGCTGCCGCAAGGTCGGTCAGGCAGCGCCTGATGGCGTCGTGGACGGGAACCCAGGCTGCTTCGCGCCCCTCGGCCATCCGCTCGGAGAGGAGAACGGGAACTCCTCGACCGAGAGGGTCCCCCCGTGGCTCTCGTCCGAGCAGGGGGCGGTGAAAGCAATGTCCCGGAGGATCTGTGAGCGGCGCCAGGCCCAACGCTCCGGCGGCGCTCCCGTGCGTGCCCCGCTCGCACGCGGCGCACGCCGGCGCGCCCCGAGGGCGCTTCCGCGCGTGCCCGCTCGCACGCCGCGTCGTCTGGCACGCCCGACGAGACGAGGCGTGGAAAGCAGCAACCAAAAACGAAGCGAAACAGAAACGAAAAACGAGGTCTAAAGACAAGACAGATGCCCAAGCCAAGCTAAACAGCGTTGTGATCGGTTCTAGAACGTTCGAACCCTGACATCCTCCCGATGCAGAAAAATCACGACAAAAATGTATTGCTAATTTTCTGCCTACGGGGGCCCTCGCTGGGCCCCAGAGCCACCGAAAGAACGACTCAGGATGAAAAGCTGGTCCCGAGGAAGGGGTCCAAAACTCTGGTGAGCCACGTTGCGAAAAAAAACACGACTCCGGATGTCTTTGACGGAAGGGAAACCATGGTTGTCATGCATGGTGGAGCGTGTACAGATCCACTGCCTGGAAAACCGATCTCTCAGGAACCCAAGGAAGCGTGGATCTGGATATCTTTGGGCCCGAGGGGGACCGAGTACATCCAGATGTCAGGAACGATCAGCTCCCCGGGCGCTATATATATATATATATATATCCACGCAGGGTTCTGCATCTTCCAAAAACAATGCTTGTACGTCATTACCGGATGACCTTACTTGGTTTCTACACAACTGGGTTGGCTCCCCAGGTTTTGGCCAAGTCGCCGCCCGAGGGCGCCTCCTGGGTGCCCCGTGCGCTGGCATGGTGGGAGGCCTCCAAAATGTGCTCCGAGAAGACGGGGTCGGAAGATGGCGCGCGTCGCCGACGCATCGCCAACGCATCGGCGATGCATGTCCGCGACGTCGGCGCATCGGCGACGTCCGCATGGAGAACCTCGGGCTCCACATCGAGCCGCATCGCCGATGCATCGCCGCTGCGGGGCGATTGTCGCCCTGGTTCCGCCCGTGGGCGCCCCGTGGCCGCGTCGGGTGTTCCCGCCCGGTCGCCTCCCCGCCCCGCGGGCACCTCTCGCGGGCGCCTCGTGCGCTCGGCGTGAGCCTTGCGGCAGTGCTGCCCGGTCGCCGCCCCGCCCCGTGGCCGCCTCTCATGCGCTGGCACGGGCTGCCGGGAGCTCGCTCGGCCGCCGGCCGTGGGCGCCTCGGCGGGCGGCTCGCGCGCCGGCCAGGCTGTTTCCGGGCGCTCGGCTCGTCGGCGCACACGGACGTTTCACCACATAGCCGGAGCCACACAGCCTGCAACACATTGCGTGCACCACATAGGTTCCACCACGTAGCTTCCACCACATCGTTTGCAAAAGCGCAGCGTGTGCCACATGGCTTGCACCGCCGAGCCTTCGCCTCACACTGCAGCACACTGCTGGTGCCACACGGATTGCATCGGATGGTTTGCACCTCACAGGTTGTAACACGTGGCTAACACATCCAGGGTGCAACAACTCACTGCTTGGGGTCCACGCTGGCAAACACGTACGGTCGGTGAGGGCATTGGATAAGAAACCCTTGAATAAGGAATTCAGGGTCTGAAAGCAGGTGGGAAACCAATTGAGGCATGACCACGGATACCACCGCCGCCCTCATCAGATAAGGAATCCCACAAGGTCTGAAACCTCCAGGGCACATTTCTCACCAGACGCCCATAGCGTGCCGCATGCCAGCAACTCCATGACAGTAGAACTGCAGCGGCGACACGTGAGGGACGAAAAACAGCGGGTCCTACGCGAGCGTGACACAGCCACCTTACGCTGCGGCTCACGCAGGCCGCCAGCGCGGCATGCCACACTGGTTAGCATGGAGAAACTGGTCCTGAGGGAAACGGGTCCTGGACCCCAGGGCCTTCCTCCAGGACGAGATCTTCATCCTGAGTAATTTTCCGACAATCCAGTGGCCCATCCCGAGAGCCCGAAAACGGCGAAAACCCTCAGGACGCGTTTCCCTCAGGACCCGCGTCCCCCTTTGGCGAACACTCGGCGGCGAGCGAGGGAAGGAAGTGAGAAGGGGAAGGCCTTCTCAGAAGGCAGTGGCACCGGGACTTCTCAGAAGCGCTCTGGCCTTCTGAGAAGTTGTCTGCGTCTTCAGGGAAGGCTAGAAAACTTCTCAGGAAGGCCAGGGGGGGCTTCCAAGCAACTTCTCAAAAACTTCTGAGAAGGCCCACCCCTTCTCACTTGCCCCCCTCGCTCGCCGCCGACACACTAACAGCGAGGGCGTCCACGCGCGAGCTCACGCGGGCAGCTTGCGCGCCAACGCCCGCGAAGACGACCCCGTCTTCTTCCGTCGCTCGCGCGAGAAGGCAAGCCCCGCCTGCCCTCCACGAGGGCTGAGAAATTCTGTGTCTTCGGGGAAAACCTCGAAAACTTCTCAAGAGGCTGGGGGACTTCCGAGCCTTCTGAGAAGCCCTTCCCCTTCTCACGTTCTTCCCCTGGGCGCGCCGCCGACTTGGAGCGCCGGGAGGCGCGGGAGAGCGGGAGCAGGGCGCAGCAGGGGCGATAGGGAGAGACGATCGAGGATCGAGCCTCTGCAGCACGTTAGCCCTCCCCTCCCCTCCAACGTCGCAGTGATGAGAGAGACCACTGTACAGAGGGGGCCCGGGGGTACACACATGAAAATGGACACAGATCCCAGGACGTCCCATGTGTGCCCATCTTCTCTCGAGCGTCGTCCTCTCCCCATCCACTTCCCACGGTTTCCCACATGTTCCTGGGAATCGACGTTTATTTGTGTCCGTGTTTTTCCTCGCGAAATAATCGTGCTGGGAGGAAGGGGTTGATAAGATACAGTGCACGACTGTGCAATAAGCACCTTCAACATACGCGGCAATATGGATGGGATGGTCATTTCTCCCAGCCCCATCCTCCAAACCCGATAATTGTCTTCCTGATACAGTCGCTGCTTCGTGGCACGGACCCCCCGGGGGATCTCGACTGATTCCCCGGGGGTCGGCTTCTCCTCCCGACCCGTTTCGGTCGCGGTCTCTGGGCCCGGGAACTGGCCGTCGCGATCCGCTCTGTGTCGCCCAGGCGCTGAGGGCATCTTGGGGCTCTGGGAGGCCTTCCTGGGAGACCTCGTCGAAGGCCTACGGCGGGAGACTCCCAGAGGATGGAGGACGTCGCCGCCGTCGCCGCCGTCGTCTTCGTGACAGCCTCATTGTCGTCGTCGTCGTCTCGTCGTCGTCTCGTCGTTGTCGTCTCGTTGATGGCACACCTCTGGAGAGTAATCAATATTGACCTCTAAAACCGGTTCTGGGCGCTCTAGTCTCGACGCCGGCTGCATTTCCTTTGAAACCGAAGCTCTTGCTCGAGCGCGGCTTGGAGACCAACGTGCGCTTGCAAGTACGACGATAGCGGCTCCCGCTCGATACCCCTTCACAACTTACTCCGAGACGCCCTGCCCAGAGAGACCTCCAAACTCAGTAACAGCGCTGTCGCTTGAGACGTGCTCGCAAATCAAAAAACCGAACGAATATCCAGTTACGACGACAACGGCTCCCGCCCGATACCGTACAATTTCCTCCGAGACGCACAGGTCAGAGAGGGCCCCAAACTCAAGAACGGCGTTCCCGCTCGAGACTGCCTCGCAATTGAGCAAAGTGGTTGAAGGCCCAACTACGACGACGACAGCTCCCGCTCGATACGTCCTCACAGTTTACTCCGAGACGCCATGGTCAGATGCATGATCACACTCAAGAATGGCGCTCCCGCTCGAGACGTCATCGCAATCTGCTCCTTGGTGCGAAAGCCCAGCTCAGACGAAGATGGCTCCCGCTCGATACTTGCTCACAGTGTACTACGAGACGCCCCGGAGGCCCCCCCAAACTCAAGAACGGCGCGCTCTACCGAGACTTCATCGGACTTACGGGAGCCAGTATGAAAAGGACCCCCCCTAGAATTCGGTCGGGCATGTCCTCCTACAGAGAAATGTTGGAAGAAAAAGAAACCATTTTCAAGAAGTGCTCAGAAATAGCCAAAAAAATGCTCCATAAAACGTCACCCTACGATTCTTACAGTATGTTTTGAATCTCCCTCATGTAGAGGGACAGGCCCGACTTAATCCTAGAAGGGGGTCGGCTCAAACACTTCGTGGGCGGCTAACAGGAGAGAGGGAGAAACAGGTGCAGGCCAGAGCGGCTTTGCAGACCACATGCTCACAAGATGGTGGTCGTCGTCGTTGTTGTCGCCTCGTCCTCGTCTCGCCGCGTCACCGCCGTCGTGAGCGTCGCCGTCGTGCCCGTCGTCGCCCGCACGCCGCGCGGTACCACTTCTCCGGCAGTGTGGGCTCCATGAACTGAGGGCGGCTCGGAAGAGAACGGGGCAGGGCGAGGGGGGCGGGGGGCGGTCTTTCGAGGGAAGGCACGGGGGGGGGCTTCCAGAAGGGATCGGCCCTTCGGAATCCACACACACACACACCACGCGCCACCCCAAGAAGGGAAGAAGCCTTCCTACAATTAGGTCGGGCATGTCCCCCTACAGGCGGATTTGGGCCGAAAAATAAAAATAGTCAAAACATGTTCAAACAATGCTCAAAAATGCTCACAAAAACGTCCCCTGACTATTGTTTGCCTATTTCTGAATACTCCTCCTGTAGAGGGACAGGCCCGACTTAATCCTACAAGGTCATCCCCTCGCCCTGCCCCCTTCTTGCGCTCCACCGAGGCCTGGTACGCTGGGCGGCTGGCGCTCACGTTCTGCAGCCACTTCCAGTCCCTCTTGCTCTTCGTGAAGTTCCACACGTGCACCTCGTCGAGAGAGCAATCCTCCACGAGCTGGTCCAGGTACGCCACCAGCAGCCGCATGTACTTCGGGCGGCCAGCGAACACGATCGCCACGGCATACGGGTCGCCTGGCCGCTTGTTGTCGAGGCATCCGTTCACGCGCACTGGCCCTCCAGAGGAGAGCCTCTGCGGCACCAGCGCCGGCGGCACCTAGCGTGACGAGATCTATACAGATGCACTGCCCCTGGCCAGGCCCAGCCTGCGACCAGGAGAGTCGTATACGCCC